AGCGGCGGGAGTAAAGAGAGCATTCATCGTTCGCAGCAGTGCGAATAGCGTCGGCAAGATAGGAATTACATGGGGTGCGGCGGGATTTCGGTAGACCGGATTACCACTCTCGCTGAGTGCAGCAACAAAGCCACCTCTCGCCGCACGATCAGGATCCTCTGGAATGGAGCATCGCTTGACCACACTCAAAACGGTACAAATGCACATCATGAGATCACTGCGGTTGTATCTAGCCGAATCCTCTAGCATGTTCTCCACTGGTGGTCTATCCAATCCCACGAATTGCATAAATTCCGCCGGTCCCTTGAACCATTCCGTGCCCAGCGTGACGAATTTGTTGGACGCGTTGCCAATCACCTCCGCGACGAATCGATTCTGCCTTTCGTAGTCGCAAAAATGATTGGAGATGAGGAGCAATGCCTCGTACAGCATGACACTCTCCATCCGGGATAACGGACTCGGTTCTCGCGTCAGATTGCGTACCATTGTGCGTATCTGCTCGAATACCGGCAGAAGTAGTAACGGATATTTGAGACTAATCTTTACCATGAGACTAGCCGCATGCCGTCGCACGTTTTTGGTCGCACGTGAGCGATTGCGCTCGTTCTCGCCGGGCGCCTCGAACACTAACGCGGCGAAGATCTTTTCAAGGACGCGTGGCAAGATAGCGACGCCCGGCATGGCCATCGAACCGGTTGACATCGACAGGAACACGAAAAGCGCACTTATGCAGGATAATAGAGCGGATAGTAGCCAAGAATCTTGTGGCGAGTAACCTAGACAAAGTTCTAACAGCTGCAGACCGGTCTGCACACTTGGCCGCTCATTGATCAACAAGATTCTGGACACAACAGAGTCCAGTGCTTGTGCAAGGGCCTCCCATTCGAGGTACTCTCGATCATTCTGATCACTCTTGTATTGCAGATCCGCCATACCCTTGGTAATTTTCGCGGTCAGCCACTGTTGCACATATGTGAACGTTACTAAGGGCGCTACCATGGTCGCATGCCTAAATCCCTCTAACAAATCCATTCTGAAGCGATGTAAAAAGACATTGAATTCCTCCTCCGAATCGTAATCAACGAGACAGTACGTGGTCATGCCGTTGCTCTGTCTACCATATGGATATGCGACACGAATTAGCTTGGGCGCCGTGTGTTCCACGTATTTGGGCACGTACGTCAGCAATAACGAATCGTTCTTGATGTGTTCATGCTTAAACAACATTACCCAGATCGTATTCGCTAAATGCGTAAGCGTAAGACTCGAGTACATGGTAAATGTGAGTGCAGTGTCCAAAAAGAGATTGAAGTGTGTTGGCCGTATGCTAGAGGCATCATCTTTTCCCCATAAAGTGCAAAGTTGTGTCGCCATGCCCGTTAGTACCTGAAATAAAAATCGTATAAATAATAGTTATTTTTTGTGAAATTTATGAACACAAAAGAAATTTAAATTGATTCAGTATTAATTGGTGCAATTATCGTGAAAGTTACTTGTGTGAGCTTCTTCAGAAATAGATAATGATTCTCGTGGAAATTCGTAGGTCCGGCGAGAGACGGTGGTGTGGTAGCTGCCGTATAAATAAATCTCAAAGCCTCTTCCGAAAACAGGATCATCAATTGCTTTCGATCTTCGGCTTTGCCCTTGCGATTTACAATTTGAAGCAGGCATTCGGCGGCAGAACATTGAAATATAGGATCGCCCAGTAGGAGGCACAGTATTTGCAACAATCTTCCGTCCTCAGCCATTATGTGGTTTATAGAAACCCACTCGACAAATCCGGTTAGTGTGGACAATACTATCTGTTATGATAACATAATACAATACAAATTTTAGTTGGTTGAAATATTAATCATCGATACGCGTCTTACAAAAACTTACCTGAACGATTTTACTATGTGCTGCAGCTTCGGATGTCTGTCCTAAGGCACTTTTCTTTTGAAATTCTGAAAAGTGTTGTTCCATTAATCTTAAGAAGAAACTAAAAATTTCTGCCATATTTGTGGTCAATGCTTGGTATATGTCTTTCCTCCTCTGATTGGATTCGAGTGTTTGTAGAAGCGCCACATCTTCCACCAGTCTAAGAAATACCAACAAGACCAGCTCAGTCTGACTCACGCCTTGTGTGCAGGCCTGACTGAGCTCGGCTAGTAGAGTGGGCCACTGCTGAGGCCATTCTCGCTTTATCATTTCAACTACCACCCGCGATAGTGCGTCCTTTATGTGGGCCTCTTCCTGTAGCAATGGCTCAGTGCCTTCTTGAAGTAATTTCATCGCATTTTCCTTGATGAAGATCTTCTCTGACTGCGAGATCTGAGTCCATCTATACTTCACACAATGTTCCATTAGCTGTAGACCGAAATGACGTACCACTGAGCTTCTGTCTGGGGATCTCTGTGCTAGATATAAGCCACATTGTGCACACAATGGTGAGGATTCCTTGAATCTTTCGCAAGCATTGTACACTTCCAGGCGTTGCTGCTGAGATATATCGGGTGACATTATTACCTCAACCACTCGGGCCAGTTCCGCCGATATCTGGGCGACATCGCCCACTCCAAACTCCATTCCTACTTAATGCACTAGAATATAAAACAAGAATATTCATTCAACATTTATAAGATATAATAAATAATACTTGTAGATAAAATAATTAAAAATTTATTTTATTAGAGAATTTTATCAAATAAAGAGAAAAAGAGTATAGAAAAAAAAAAAAAAAGAATGAAATGGATTATTTATTATTTCATTTCCATCTGTTAATGGATAGCATATGTGTATTACTTAACATGTAAAAAAACATCTCACTTAAAAATTTTTCTCAGAAATAATTAGTAATTAAGGACATACAGTATCTTAATTGTATTAAATATTTATATATATAATAATCCAAACACATAATGTCTCACAAACATCCTACATTTAAATAACATCTCTAAGCTTATTTGTCCAATTAAAGCTAAACAAAACAAAAAATTATTTTTCTATGATTAATTTCGATGTATATACTACATCTTGTGCAATTTTTGTAAAGCTGATGCAAGATAATTTGAAGATAATATTTTAATTTCTACCGGTATATATAAATATCCAAACGCAAAACAAATTTCGTATATCTGCGAAGGAATGAACGAGCGGCGAGGAAATTTTCGAACGACTTCGCCTGCTCCAATTTTATTTTTAGAGAAGATATACGAGCAAATTTTCGATTTTTTCTTCCGCGAACACGCGGCGATGAAGCAGCTTGTTGCGGTGTGCACCGAGCATGTCTCGAGAGAAACCGCACGCAACTCACCTCGCGAGATCGTCGTTCGAGACGGAGCTTGACGGGGCCGCTTGGACGGCGAGAGGCTCTCCGGTATCGTACCGCGCGTCAATTCATAATCCTAATCGGCCAGGAGAAAATTTTGCGAGTCTATGTCAATCGCGATGCACGCGGTATAACAATCGTGTGCAACGCTCTCCGCTAACAGTCATCAGCAGGTTCAGAAATGCAGATGCGGCACGCTGGCTAGCCGGACGATCTTATACGCGATCACGTGCTGCCCTCTCGGCGATATTTTACTACGTTCATTCCGTGTATCATCGAAGGAAAGGAGTAACTAGGAGGAAATATGATCAAAGATTCATTGGACTTGCGTTCAATATATGACAGTCTGATAGCCAATGAAAAGTGTGGATTCTAACTAATACCATTTTTGTTCCTAAAAAACAAGTTCTCCTATCGGATATCAGATTGTCAGGAAACAGGGTGAATCTTTTACTAGTTTTTTCGCGGTTTAGAGTCATTAGGCATCTGTAGTCGCGCGTCTAGATATTCGTACATTATGACTTAAAAGTCCGGAAAATAGATAAGAATTTGTATGTATATATATTAAAAGAATTAATAAACATGTTTTGAATTATTTATTCAAGTCATCGTGCACGAATATATCTAAACACGATGATCGAAAATAACCGCACGTGACCTTACATATCGGAAATGCCAAGGTAATAATGAATTCTTAAAAACTGAATTATAAAAATTTTTTCGAATGTAAAATAAGTGATACAATAAAAAAAAAAGTATGATAAACTAATCGAAATTTAATAATTTTCCGCAATATTAAGTGTTTGAAAAAAAAAAACATGTTTTTATCTTAACAATATGTTATAGAGAGAGAGACAGAGATTTTCTAAATTTTTAATTTGCAGAATCAGGAATCGGTTTTTTTACTATTAAAGAAAGGGACACAGTTATACATCAATATAAATTTAACTTTAAAAATTTTTTTTGGTTGAATCTATATTGCATAACTGCATCCAATAGTAAAGTCTATTAATTTCGGAGATAAAATTAATAAAAGACTAAACGATTAAAAACGATTTAAAGAGACATCTTCTCAATGAGCAGACAATATTTTAAAAATGTATTTTTAATATTTATTGTTTATTAATTATACGTTGTACAATTGATTATGAAAATAATATTTAAGGTTCATTTAATTATTTATTTTACATAAAATATTCGTTTGAAATAGCAAATGTTATTATAAATATTTTCTTAATGATTAAAAGGAGACTTGACCGATTATTTTAATGTTTATAAAAATATATTTCATTATAAAAAAATATTTATAACAATATTTCTCAAAAATTTTTAAGAACATTTTTAAAAATATTATCTTCTCATTGGGTTATCGTTTTTTAAATATATTTAAGATATCTTTTGACATCTTTTTGTGTTGTTTGGGATATGTCTATATGAAAAAAAGATTAACTCATCAATAAAAATCCAGTTTTATTTATGGAATTAAAATATCTTTTTGGCAGCATAATCTGTATTTTGTACGATGCATTTAAAATGGAATAAAATTCTGGAATAATGTTTCGAAACAAAAGTCTCCTGCAATTCAATTTTTGTCTGAATTCATCAAATCTACGTGTAGTAGGAGCGGGAGAATAATCCGCGACACGGGCGGGACGATCGAGAGCAATCGCGGGCGGAGAATGTAAGAATTGCGCTAACAATAAGCAGTATACACCTGAGCTCGCCTTTTAAAGGTGTTACAGAAGCGTGGTGGAAAACCGTACGCTACGATGAATGCGCCTTTCGCTCAGTTGGAGCAGCAGCCGTTCCAGTGATTCCAGCGGCGCGAGCGAGACGAGAGCGGACACGAGAGCGAGAACAAGACTCGACGATTGTGTCTCGATTTTACGGATCGGTTCTGAACGCGATGCGCGAGGTTGCTGATCCCCGCGAACGATGCCGGGATCGTCGTCACGAGTCACGAGTGCTCTTTGAACAAGTGTATGCGTACAAACAATTTTGAGGAGAGAAATACGGAGGAAGAAAAAGTACATGGTATGGACCAGAGGTGTTGAATATACTCTCATCTCGTGTAACCGAGCGATCGATATGTCGCGACGATCCAGATTCGGCCAGCGCGTTTCCACGAGAAGAGGAATTATCTGCGGATAAGGATCGATGCGGGGAAGATAATCTCTCTTAAATACGGATGAAATACAGGGTATGGCAACCGGTCTCTTCTTAAGAGCTAGTACATACAAATATATCGAGCGATCTCGATATCGGAGATCTGTGTTGATCTCCGAAGTGATCTCTCAACGCCATACGTACGGAGAGCTTGGCGCGATATTTTTTCATTGACTTTTTTTTCCGGGCATCTGTATTAAGGAAAGAAATATTGCGCGCACAGATTGCATTGGATCTGTAGCGCCTGCGCGCTTCATTGTCCACTAATATTTGTGTATAAAGAATATATGAGTTTATTTAAAAGTGACGCGATTAATGCGCAAAGCAGGATTTTAATAACCGGTTAGTTGATGAGAATGAATAATCATTTATTCAGCATTCTAGACTACAGATTTATTAAATAATTTTTTTTTTTGCGATGGACGGGCAAATTAAAGAGGATTGATAAGGATTAATTTCGCAAAGAAAAAAACAAATAATAAAATATTGAAATTGATCTCTAATCTGGAAGACGGGATATTTAATTTAAAAGAATTTCTTGCGATTTATTTTAATATATATTTACCTTTTTACGAGGCTCCAAGCATTTCTGAATAAAATGCGATATATCAAATTCGATTAAGCCGTTGCATTGGAACGCGTAACAATTATTAATCAAAATTTTTTGTAGTTAATTTTAAAAATGAGATTATAATATTTTTTTTATGATAAAGATCAAAAGAATATGACACGATTCGATAAAATATGCGTACGCTGTTAATAAAGATGCAATTATATAAATGCAACAATTTATTGTGAAATGACATTGATAAAGTATTACCTTGAAAAAGAATCGCGGAGGAATGATCGGAGGCGAAGGGTATTGTCGTGTGCATTGTCGATCGAAGACGTTGCACATGTCCTTGCCAAATGACATCATCGTACTAAATAAGGATTTGCCCAGCACGATGTACGCACTGCTGGCACTGCCTACGATCAAGAGACAATCCAATGATAATATAGTATTTTGCAATCAATATGTGCGGGCAGTATGCTTAAAGAAATATATGCCACACCTTTAATGATAAATTTGTATTTAATTGTGCAGAGAGCATTATAATTAAATTGAAGTATTTTCAAATAACAAAAAGATATCCAATAAAAGTCCAGACATAGTCCAGTAAAATTTGCTATATCAAGCATTGCTAAGTAAAATTATAAAATCAAAAATATAAAAAGAATCTTTTGAAAACTCGAATACAATTCTTATTCCTTTCATAGTAACATTATAAAGTATTTTTGTTGTAGATTGATGCAGTATAAATGATGTATATAAAGCAGCCTTTTTTAAAATTTTACAATATATATAATAAAAAAATATGTTTTTATCATATATTGTATGCTTACAATAAGCATAAATATTCTATTTCTTATTGTCTAATAATTGTAATTTCTAATAATTAATTGATAAATAAATTTATTTCTGTTTTAGATGAACTCTAAACGCGAATGTTACTGATATTTGTCTTTAATATTCTTGCGCGAGTGCATTGATATAGACCCCAAAAATGCATACTTCCAGATATGCTGGTTATCACATTAGCGCAAATCGTGATTACATTACAGATGGAGAAGAGAGCCACAGAGCTCCTTCAGATCGTACCGTATCTGAATATATCGTTGCCAACGAACATACTACCATGGTATAATATATATTTATGGCAAAAAATATTTTCTTGAATTAAAAAAAAGTTATATTTGTGATATTAATATGTCATATATTATCTTTATATTTTCAAATTTCTTCCAGGTAAAACCAATAAAAACAAATCATGCAGACAGATATGACAGAGAAGATAAAAGATCCAGAAGCGCGCACAATACTCGCGATTCAGTATTGTCTGGATCTTCGAAACATAGTTTACATCCACTTAGTAAAAGTGCCTCGCACGGCAGTATTTGTGACAATGGTTCAGATATATATGTCACCAGTGCTGCATATAGAGCCACTTCTGACATAAGGTTGTTGTCCCATTTAAATATATATATATGTATAATATATTAAACATCGCGATAAAATATATATATATATATATATATATATATAAACAATATTAATAATGTAATAATTTTTGTTTTATGATATTGTTATGATTCTAATAAACGTTTTATTATTCAGTTATGGATTACTTGGTGCGAGTGGTTGCGGGAAGACTACTTTATTGTCATGCATTGTCGGCCGGAGACGCTTGAATTCCGGCGAAATCTGGGTGCTGGGGGGCCGACCAGGCTCT